AATTATTATTTAATAGTATTTAAATATTATAATGTGTATATTATTTAGTATATAAAAATATATTTTTTATTTAATATTTTTATATTATATTTGGTGTAAAATACATATATATGTGTATAATAAAATATATAATAATATTATATATATATATATATATTTTTTAAATTACAGATTTGGACCAATGTACTAAATTGAAATATACTCAAAATAATTGAAATTGTTGTCAAGTCCTTGAGCTTTATCCAATTTTTAAAACCATGCCCGCAGTTAATGATTGTCGAGCTCCTGCACCTTGATTATCGAAGCGAAGTAAGGACGACGAGGACAGTGGCGACCGGTTTGCGACGGAGCTCCGCGGTGGAGGAGGATGTAGGAGAAGATGAGATTAATGGCGGCAAAACCAAGCTCCACCTCTTCCGAACAGCGAGACGGAAACCGGCGGTCGTGCGGCTGCGCCTAAGCAATCAGTCAGGCATGTGGCGGCTGTAGTCGACTGGAGTCGAAGCGTCGTGTACTGGGGAGCTAGATGGCGGCAGACGACGGTGTATGGAGGATGGCGGCGGATGACGGTATATGGAGGATGGCGGCGGCGTAAGGCGTGACATACGACATTGGGGCGTCGGTGCCCCAACCGTGTGTTGTGTGCAGATGTGTGTGTGTGGGTGGGTGGGAGTATGTGTCCGTGTGTTGTGTGTGTGGGTGAGTATATTGTGTGCGTGTGTGGTTATGATGTGGCATGTGTGTGTCTGGAGAGAAAGAGAGAGAGAGAGAGAGAGAGAGAGAGAGAGAGAGAGAGAGAGAGAGAGAGAGAGAGAGAGAGAGAGAGAGAGAGAGAGAGAGAGAGAGAGNNNTAATGAGGTTATAATTTTTATAATTTTTTAGCCATTAGATCATCCAATCTAATGGCTACAATTTATTCTCATTTCATTCCCTAACACCATTCTCATGAGAACCCAACTCTATATGTATATATAATATATAGTTAGGATCCAATGAGAATGGTAGATAGTGAAAGAAATAAGAATGAACGTAAGCTTCTAGGTCTAGCAAATCAGTAGTCATGATCAAGTCAAACTTTAATAATTCAGTCAAACATAGAATGATAATAAGGTAAATAAGTTAACATATTGTGGTCAAATATTAGCATTTTACCACTTATTAGGGATAAATTTATCATGAGAAATAATAGTAGTGGGACCCACTTATATAATAAACATTACCACCTCCGACAACTACCTACCCGTCTGTTCCTGCTCGTCCTCACACACACTTTTCATTAAACACACACACACTAAACACACATATTTTCGATGGCAGATCAACGACCAATCCCACCCGCCGGAATGACGCGGGACACCGCACATTGCCCCAGACGCCGCACGCCGCCACCAGACCGCAATCGTACCCATCGGCGACGGGGATTCCATGGTCGGAGCTTCAACCGTCCACCGGGAAGTAGGCTGGGTCAACAAGAGTCGTCGTCGACCTTCGAACAAGCTTCACGCCGATCAGCCGAAGTATCAGTGGTCGGCCTCCATCCCTCGCGGTCCGTTTCCTGCACCTTCTGCCACCGGCGAAATCTCAGCTTGCTGCAAGGATGTGAACTTCTCGGCCTTTTTTCTGTTCACCGGTAAGTTTTCCAGTGAATGTCGATGGAGTTTGTCACCGGCCAACTCGGCGGCAAAATCCCTGTGAGCTGCGGATATGGCACCATGTGGATGGGTTTATAGTTTGGGGTGTGTTTTTTAGAATTTGATTAGATGAAGGGACTTGATTGCAATTATATAAACTTTTAATATTACAATGAGGACATCGGTTAAATGAGTAATTAATAAAAATTATAACTACTATTTTAATATTTGTACTTATTGTTTATAATATATAAAAAATAATAATATTATGTTTATAAGTATATATTTTAATGTTAAATTTTTTATTCAATGTTTTATATTATTGTTTGTTGCAAATAAATTATATATACATATATATATATTTATATTTATAATGTAAAAATATTATTTTTTGTTGTGCATTCTGAAGGTCACTAATATGCATCTCGTTCATCATTATTGTGCATTATGCATTGCAGGTATTTTTTCATGTGCAAATCTAAATTAAATTCAAAGGAAATAATCAGTTTATTCTAACCGAATTAAACCTACATATTCAAAATAACTATTATTTATATTAAAAATGTTTACTATAATAATATTTTTATTTAACATTTTACATTATTTTTGGTTGTACATACATAATATATTATTTAATTTATTTAGTTATTTCATATATATGATAAAAACTTAAAGAATAATATTAATGCATTTATTAAACTTTTGAAAACTACAATTTGACCCCAAGACTTAAATTGTAATATATTAAATGTTTTAAATTTGCAATCAA